AGCATATTTCCTTGCCGCGGGTACGATCGCGTTGAAAATTTAATGCCTTCCGCTCCTTCCCTTCTGCAGACCGTGCGAGGATCGGCACCAAGAGCGACACAATGCACCGGAGAACCGTTAATCGCCGTCCTTTCGCGCCAGAAGTCAAGGCGTTGTATGCGACGCAACGGTTCTCTTTTCCTCTTTCTTTCCTCGTTTGAAATTTTACCATCGCGTCGTTCAATCCGCGCACAGAAAGAAGAGTTTGCTAAAATATCTAAAATTACTTAGCTGCACTGAAAAAAAGGATTGGCTGCTGCAGCAAATTAGATGGTAAAATATGGCATAGCATTTTTAATTGGCTGCAGCAGCCAATTTTTGGTTGCGCTAGCCTATCCGCAACGTTAGTATAGGATTTCGATAGGTTAACACAACCAAGAAATGATTGCAACCAATTAAAAATGCTATGTCATATTTTACTATCTAATTTGATGCAGCAGCCAATCTTTTTTTTCAGTGTAGGTAGTTTCAGAATACTTCTAATAACTTAACAATTAAAAATACAAGTATCAACGACATTAATGTTAAATTGATTTGTTAACAAAATATTAAATGGTTTCCAAATCCAGGAAGAAAATATAAAAAATTTTAAAATATTGAAAATAACGGAAAATCGTGAAATTTTGTCTGGAAATCAGGAAATAGTTATGAAATTTTAGGATGAAGAATATGTGATAATTTTGTTTATTATGTTTAAATTTCCTACATGTAATTATTTTAATGGTTCACCAAAATTATTTTCAGACTTGTTATCTAAATTTTTAGATAATTCAGCAAAATCATCCTTTCGGTGGGGCTGTTAAATCTGAGTAAAAACCTCGGAAATAATATTCCGGCTCTCGCCCAGAAGATGGGAATTTGAAACAGTGTATTTTCTTTTCACGAGCTTCCGCGTGACGTCACGTGTGTCACACGTGTTACCCACCGTCGATGCGCGCGTAATAATTCATCCCTCACGCGCGCATTCGGCGGCGCGTATTCCGCGTCGGCGGTCGTCGCGGTACTCGCGTTCCGCTGAAATTGCGGTGCGGCATAAATTATACGGGCGAAATTACAACGTCGCGCAAAGTACGGTGGAACTACATGTAATTACACTGTTTGATCCTAAATGATATAGACTAACTGACATCAAGCTAAACGTGGAGTATCGACGTCAAGTCGCTTGACGACGTTACTATTTAGAAACGGGTTATATATTCGGGTGGAATTGCCGATGCCATCCGCCCCGTATTCGCTCGCTCGTGTCACGCATCGACTTCGACGTGTTTCGTCATTTAAGAACGACGGGACTCAAGTAGAGAGTGCATATACGCGTCACGTTCGCAGCCAGGAGGAGAACCTTGCGCCATGCGTAAAAGCACACAGGCAGTGCCGAGGCATCAGTGCCGTAGTCACGCTCGCTCTTTGTTTCGAGCGAGCGCGAGGTCGTTGTCCCAATTCTCGACTCCGTGTCTGTGTCGTCGTCGTCGCCGTCGTCGTCGTTGTCGTTGTCGT